TTTAAGGCCTGTATAGAGATCGAAGCGAAGCGAAAATCTTATAAAAAAAGCCAAATTTTTCACCAGCGTGAAAAACGCAATTGGAATTTTTTTCACTTCGCTTTGAACTGTAAACAGATACGATCCAGCGAAATCTAATGTTGTGGATCGCATCTTTTTCGCTTACGTTTATTTTTTTCGCGCATGTAGCGCTCGCGAAAAGAGCAGCAGCTAAGCGAAAAGTTGACGTTTCGGGAGAGCGTATTTGTCAGATTTTCACTTCACCGGAGGTGTAAACTGATCGATTTCGTTTCACATGAACTGTAAACTGCGAAAAAAGGAAACTGGAAAATGTTCCACAAACATTTTTTCACAACCTTTTTCGCTAGCGAAATTTCATGATTTTTCACGTGCTTCAAATTTCGTTTTGCTTCGATCTGTATACTATGCTTTACTTGTGATCGATGCCATCATGAGCTGCACAGTCGCTGGTGACACTGTACCGGCGAACTTATTCCACTTTAAACGCATTTGTTGTGCATTTGTCACTTCTTTACCGCATTCTCGAAGTTTTCGCTTGACAATTGCCCAATATTTTTCGATCGGTCTGAACTCAGGGCATTTCGGAGGATTAATCTCTTTGGCGACGAAATTAACATTGTTTGCAGCATACCATTCTAGTACCTCCTTAGAACAGTGGCAGCTGGCTAGATTCGGCCAAAACATAACGTTGGTCTTGTGTTGCCGAATGAAGGGTAAAATCCGCTTTTTCAGACACTCTTTAATGTAAACCTTCGACGTCATTGTGTGAGATGTGATGAAAACCTTGGTTTTAAAGCCAAAACTGCAGATCTCTTGCCAAATCATTAGTTTCTGAGCAAACTTATCAGCAAAAACAATTTTATACCTGTAAGGGACATCCCCACGACCAGTCGACAGGTAAAACTTTCGTCCGGGGATTTGTTTATAATCCATTTTGACATATGTTTCGTCATCCATTAAAATACAGCCATCAAATTTCGTCAAAACTCGTTCGTCTAGTAATCGTGCTCGCTTTTTGGTCACTAAATTTTGTTTCAGTGAGCGATTCGGATGTTTACTGGCACAAAAAGACTTCCACGCAAAGTGGAAAAGTTGGAATCGTATTTCTTTGACAAATCACGTATGGAGACACCTGGGTTGTTTTTCACGTACCTCAACACCTTTCTCCTCAGCTCTTTGTCCCTAGTGCCACTTTTATGATAGATGTGCTGTGCTCGATCCACACTCAGAGTATCCTTGTAACGTTTGATTACAAGACTCACCGTTGACTTTGGGAATTTTAACACTTTTACTATTTTTGTGGCAGACCACGAAGAACTTGATGTTTGTGCACAATTAATTTTCTTTTCTCAAGTTCCATGATCCGTAATTTCGGGATGCGTCGATCAATCGAGAAAAACTATAATTTATTTTCAAAGTGTAAAACTGTCACTGTATAACATGTTGCCTACGCGCCTGCCACTGGGCTGATCTGAACTAGTCCAGGTTGAGCGTTAAATGCTTCCTGGTGATTTGGCCGGTTGGTGGTTCTGTTTTGCTTCAAAATCCGTGAAACATCTGGAAGTCAATACAGAAGTGCATAACCCAACTAACAATTTTCACAATGTAAACGCTTTACTCATTTCATTTATACAGCCTCAAGCTGTATTCAAACGTTATACGATATGAGGAAACCTTTACTCAACCTCTATACAAGCAAATCTGGCGAACTTAGTCAGCTACTTATGGCTGTTGGAACGGTCGGGAGAAGCTCTTATTGCATATCCATTAACGTTTCTATACAGCTGTTATCCTGCTGTTTAGTTGTGTGTGAACTTGAAAGGCGCTTATTCAACCTTTTCCCGGTTATCCAATAATCACTACACAGCTTTCTCTTGAAGGCGGGTTAAATACTGTTTACGCTTTTTTATGAAGGAATTTATTGAGTTTATTTTGCTGTGAATCAAATTAATCGAAATTAGTTACAAATCATCACCAAATTATTTACCCTGCACCGGAGCCTGGAATCGAACTCAAGACGACCTCATTGGCAAACCTTGACACTACCAACTGTGCTACGCCAACACATTGAACTTATGTAAACAAATCAACTGTAGTAATATTTAATTTGAGAACCACTGTCGATCCATATCAATCCACACCAAACATCAACAACCAGTCGTAAAGGCCATCCGCCTCAAAAATGCATTGTAACCGAAATTAGGAAATTATTCAATTGCAACCATATGTGACACAGCAATACCACACACCGATAAGCGCTATTTTCCTTCTCCTCTTTTCGCCCCGCGTGTGGCCGTACCGATGGGCATTCCAACGGGTGGCGTCAAATTGCACAACTCAATAGATCCATAGTCCACCAAAATTCTGACACAGCAGTCAAGAACCTTTTTGCCGATAGTCACTCCAGATGTCTCGCTCACTCATATACAAAGCATAGGTTAAGACCAAAATGTAAAAACATATATAAATGAATAATTCTTTTGAATAAAGACAATCTTTGACTGAGAGCTGACTCTGACAGTCTTTCGGTCCGAACAGGAGGTTACTTTTCGAAGCCCTCAATGGTTCGGTTACCGATCTGAACTAAAAGAAAGCCTTCTCCAACTCAAAGCGTGCGGCGCCCAACACACAACATTCCCTTCTACAACAAAATCGCTGAGTAGAGGCTTTATAATAGTGCACACGAATCACTTTTGTCGACTAGTTATAAAAGCTGTAAAACTGCACACGTCTAAAAATAAACCTAGTTGACTGTGAAAATGCTTCCGAAGTTGCTCTAACACAGTTTATAAGCTGAGTACAGGTTGTTTAGTTGTTGAAAAAGCACTTTTGATGTTTATGTTATTCAGCAAGAGTGGTTGGTTGTTTAGAAGCCATCAAATGAGTAATATATTCACTTTGTTCGCTTTGTTTTGCAGCTACAAGTTGAAAGTTGATTAGTGTGTGTATAGAAGTGACATTAGCGTTTATTGGCTGATGTTATTCAGTGCGACTGACAAATTGAAAAATGGTTGCGAGAAAGTTGAGTAAACGCTGTCCAAAACTATTTTGCTAGCTTTTGCTTGTAGCTGTATCTGCAGCTTCTTTTCAGCTACTTTACAGCACAACGCTGGAAAAGTTGGCTTACAAAGCTGAAAATGTTAGTTGGGAAACTTCCCAATTCCGTGGCAGTTTCTGCACTCCTGCGTTGGCTTTCAAAGATTCATATTTTATTCTACCTGGCCATCGTCGTGATGTTGGTATCTTCCGTTGCTCCGGTTACGGATCATAGCAGTAAGGGCAACCGATGGAAACTAACGATTTAAAATTGGCTCACTACTTGACTAGCCTATTGGTCCCAAGCAAATCGATTAACGTACCCCATTCTAATCGAAATTCTAGTACTACACTATGTTTGTTTTGATTCGCTATGAAAGGTTGACAGATAAAATGAGGGGTTCGTGGATTTTCCGATGTTTCGAGGGGTGCATCGATTAGCTTGAGACCGAAGAGAGTACTAGAGCTGGCCAAAAAGTTTAGCACGTTTCTTCGGAACCTTCTGGTCTTAGAGTTACCTCTATGGTAAGGGTGAGTTGGAAATTATTTGTTACGAATACCGAAAATTGTTTGTGTCAACATTCACATTTTGACACATCGTCACTGCGCATGCACAGTATAATGCAGTGATGCCAGTTACTTTAGAGATCACAAAAAATATGTACCATGGGTGCCAAACGAGTGAGCCATGGTGTGCCGTACCATAGAGGTAACTCTAAGACTAGAAGGTCCCGAAATAACGTGCTCAACTTTTTGGCTCAGCTCTGGTACTCTCTTCGGTCCCAAGCTAATCGATTCACCCCTCGAAACATAGGAAAAATAATAACCCCTAATTTTATCTGTCAAACTTTCATGGTGAATCAAAATAAACATTACGTAGTACTAGAATTTCAACTAGAATGGGGTACGTTAATCGTTTGCTTGGGACTAATAGGCTAGTCAAGTAGTGAGCCAATTTAAAATCGTTAGTTTCCACCGGTTGGCCGTACTGTGTTTTTGGCACACTGTGCTGAGTGACCTACCCATTGGGCTTACCACAAAATACGTCCCATGGTAACTGAAATAAACACGAGTGCTGACCGGTTGATTTTACTGTTTGTAAATTGAACAATTTGGATTTTTCGATCATTTCCTAGTTTAATAAAAAATACAACGATTTATTTTTCAAATATATATATAGATATATATTCTTATCAAAACATGATTTCCTGCCTTTATTTCAGATAATAAGGAAGAAGAAAAATATTTGGGGGTAAAATAAAACTGCTTCCAAAATATGTGAGTTTCGCTTTGTTTTGATGTTTTCCTGTTTTTGTTTCTTTTCTTTTTGCTCTCTATAATCTGCTGCTCTCTTTATAGGTACGTATATAAGCGAAGGACATCTACACAATACACACAGTAGTTGTTCTGTTTGTTTAAGCTTGGTTTTTTCTTTGTCAGTGAGGAGTTTAATTACCACATGTATTTTTTTTTTTAAAACGTTTACGATCAATTGAGTTTAGTTTGTGCTAGTTAATAGTTACCCTGGAGATAGTTGATTTATAATCAGGTGGATTTTGCGCTTTTTTTTCTTTGTTCGATTCTTGTGCATTAAATGTATACTTTCGTAAAGAGAGGAGAGAGTGATCTTTGTAGTGTCATAAAAAAATAAATCTGTATACGTAGGTACGTACAGGTAGTACAAAATAATTTATCATTTTAGTGGATAGTTGCATGCTGCGGTGTGTTTTTTTTTGTCTCTCACAGTAACTAGGAGTTGCATATACGTTATTTAGGTATTTATTAACATTATAAATTTGACATTGGATTTAGTCTACAGTTTTGATTGGACAGCTTTAGGGCTATTATAAGCTTTGTCAAGGATTCTTTATAGTTTGGCTCTTTTTCTCAAATTTAATTTTGCTTCGAATTTTCCTGGGCGAAAAATATAATCTAACACAATATTTTGCCTTTATCAAAATGTTGTCGTTGTTTTTTTTTGCGTGTTCTAATGTAACTATCACCAAATGGGCCTTTCAGCAGTTCTGCCAATAATCTATCGAGTTTGGTGTATAAAGTACAACGAAACGGGTTTCTTCTAGGGTGAGAAAGAGTTTCAGTCTTAGAGAGAGGATTATCAACCTGTAAATTTGCGATAATTTCGTCTTTGAAGAAATGTTTGATTCAACCTAAGGTTTACAGTAGATTAAATTTTTTATCGAAAACGGGTGTAAATACAGTCATAGCACGATACTTTAAAATGAAATGCTTCTACTGGAATGAGATATTTCATCTGAAGCTAGAATGTCTGCATACACTGCGAACGTAATCGTAACCGAGGAGGGGTGAAAGCATTTTCTAAAAGCTAAAATAATAAATAGCTACACAGTGGATATGATTTGTTTGTATCATTGCGCGAAAGCGCATGATATTTAGGTTTCGTGTTTGCTAACTGAAGCGGGCAATCGGAAGTGAAGGTCATATATGGCGAGAGCCCTGTTTTCATACATTCTTAAATTCGTCTCTTGCTTATCATGGTTTCTTAGATAACACCTAACAGTAAGGTATAAATATGTTCTTATTCTCACTTAGTTTGTTTGCGCTGTTTTGCTTCGATTGGAGGAAAATCATTCATCTTTCTGATGTAGTATAACAATTACATGCACGTGTTTGCTTGTTTTTTTTTCAGTAACAAGGTGGACACTATTTAATATTTTCTTCTTCTTTTAATTGAACAACGTACAGCGAATTCCATATATTTTCCCTATACAATATAAAAATATATTTACTGTATTTCTTGTCCGTAGCGATTCTTGATTTACAAACATTTATCCTTTTTCTTCTTCGTTCAGCTTCTCATGGATTCCCCTAAACTGTTCCACGTTAATCTTTTAAATTAGTCGTTCCGTTATTTAAATTAAGATCCATAAGTAGAAATTATTTATAAACATAAGCGTGTTCCTCTTCACGATCGCGAATGGGCGCGTCCGATCTTGTCGCTCTAAGGCCAATGTAACTAACTTATTCCACTCTCAGTGTAAATTTTCTTCCGCAATCATCTTCGGCGCATAACGACCGAAAGTAAGCTCCATAGTAACAGAAACAACTTGCTTTGTTCGCAGAAAATGAATCAGAATCAACACGCCTGCTTTGTGCCTTCTACCCGTTCCCTATTTAGCTAAGACGATTGCTCAATGATGGTTTAGGGAAAGACGGAGAAAGAGATAAAGTGTACAGAGTAGAGCGAAGTGTTTCCATCTGCTTTTTTGTGCGCATTTTCCTGGCCACTCCCCTTTCTGTAAAGTTAGAACAGCCCGCAGTCCTTGAGGTTGTTCTTGATAATCACGTCCGATACGGCGTCGAACACAAACTGAATGTTGCTGGTGTCGGTGGCGCACGTCAGGTGGGTGTAGATTTCCTTCTGCTCTTTCCGTTTGTTCAGGTTTTCGAACTTCATCCGGATGTAGCTGGATGCTTCCTCGTACGTGTTGGAGCCTGCAAATAAAAGAGGAGTGTCGACTATATTAGTTTACTGTAAATAACATCTGCGTGAAGAAATGCGTTGCGATTTCCGTATACTTTCCAGAGAACTCTCGGAGACGAAATTCAATTTTTGCTATACGTATAGCTATTTAGTCTTCTAGACCTGTCGTAGAAGTTCAGTTAACAACTCATTGAAGTTTCGCGAACTGTTTACAGAGCTTATGTGGACAGGTCGTTAAAATCCGGAGAGTCCCATTTGAATTCCTGTTTACATTGGCCGAACCGTACTCAGGATTTTTGATTAGGTGGCGAACTCTCAGTGTTGCGCCCCTTTTACACTTTTATGATACCCTCATCACATTCCGGAAGGGTAGCGTAAAAGAGAATGAGATATTGCAACAAATTCAAACTGTTATATCTGTTTTCCCTAACATATACTGGGATTTGTTCAGCCCAGTGATGCTAGGTGTTGAGGGAAGTATTTCGGTATAGTGCTAGCAGCTTCAAAGCTGGAATTTTATTATTTGTGTTAGCTTTAGTTTGGTATTGATAGCAAAACTCACATTTTGGTATTTTAACGGATCCTATCTGTTAGCTTTCTCTCATTACTTCCCACGTACGAATCTGTTTCCAACAATTATTAAATTAAATAGATACACTTCATTTTACATTTCAGCAGTTACCTTTTCGATACAATAGTTTTATAAATTCAACCAGGAATAAACCTTAATTTTCATTAAATTTCACAATTTTTCAATTTGGAAAATCGTTTTTCTTTTCACAATACATTTACTTTGTTTATGATCTTCAGTCTCTCTTTCCTTCCGTTTCAATCATCATTATTCTTGACAGTTAATCCGCTGCCACTTATGCTCGACCGCACAAATCGCAAAGGGTGTAACCGGGACTCACTTGACTGCCGGCGGAGTCTGCCCAGTGGGTTCGCCAGCATTCCCACGCCCGTGTAGTTCCGGTTCACTCGAACACTTCTCTTCCGATTTTTCAGGCATTTCACGAACTTCCAGCAACGCCAACTTGGTTGCTGGTCGACTAACCATTCCCCGGGAAGTGTGCACTTCTGCTCTGCGAACTTGCCCATCCTTTCCTGTCACGACATCCAGAATTCGCCCTCGCAGCCATCTGTTGCGCTTGCCTTCATCGACCAGAACCACTAAGTCACCGGGCTTCAACGGTTTTTTCTGGCTGGAACCATTTGGTGCGGCGTGTTAGCGTAGGTAGGTATTCGTGTAGCCAGCGGCTCCAGAACATATCAACCAGGTACTGCGAAAGCTTCCAGCTGTCCCTCAGAGTTGCATACTCGTGCTGTAGGTCCCGACTAGGTTGGTTGATGCCTTGTGTCCAGTAGAGCAGGAAATGGTTCGGTGTGAGGGCTTCTTGATCCGCATGATCCAAAGGGATGTAAATTAGCGGTCTTGAGTTGACTATCGACTCGGCTTCGAGCGCAACAGTCTCCAGGACCTCATCACTGGGGTGGTGTGGAAGATCTGCGATCGCCGCCATTGCCACCTTAACCGACCTGACCATGCGCTCCCACGGTCCTCCCGTGTGTGGCGCTAGGGGTGGATTGAATAGCCATCTCGTGCTCACGTTCGTAAAGGTTACAGCGCAATGCTCGGTGATTGCCTTGAGCTGCTCCTTAAGCAAGTTGCTCGCTCCTACGAAGTTGGTTCCATTGTCTGAATACCCCTGCGTGCCCCTGCGTGCCACGAACCTTCTAATGGCCATCACGCACGACTGGGTGGACAGGCTGTGGACGATCTCGAGATGCAATGCTCTGATTGACAGGCACGTGAAGAGCGCTACCCAACGCTTGACCGTGCTTCGTCCTTGTTTTACGAAGACGGAACCGAAGTAGTCCACCCCAGTGTGCGTGAATGGTCGTATATAGGCAGTCAGCCGGATCCCAGGAAGAGGTGCCATGATCGATGCCCTTGAACACTGCCTTCTGAACACGACAATGCTGACACTGCTTTTGCTGTTTGTTGCGAAGGTAGGCCACCGAGCGAAATGGGGAATCCGAAACCGCTGTCTTATCTTGTTGACTACCGTTTCGTGGTTTCCATGTAGAAAACGAACATGATAACATTCTACGAGCAATTCCGTCATCCGATGACCCTTGGGGAGGAAGATCAGAAATCTCGCATCCTTGGCTACCATCGGTGCTGCTGCGATACAGCTATTCATCCGAAGAACTCCATCGTCGTCCAGCATCGGACTCAACTTGTACAATGCACTCGACCTTGCGATCGATCTGCTTCGGTTCCGCGTCTAGGTGTTCATTGTTGTAGCTAAGCGTGACGTATTCATCCGCATATGCTTGTTTTTGCACCTGTTGAAAGATCAGGGATTCGGCCTTCAGCAGCTCTCCTTGCGTAAGTGGGCCCTCAGCGTTCAGGCCTAGGAACACTAACAACGCTCTAACAACGTATCCGGCGTCCGCTGAAGCCTCGACCACTTGGAGAATCGATGAACATCTATGATCAGTGGCGATATGACTCGATAATGTAGAAAGACTGCTCGCAGTTCCTCTGCTGTCGAATACTCCTCCGAATTTTCCTTTCGCCAGCTCTCGTCCGGTTCCATCAGGAAAGCCGGCCCTACATACCACCAGTCGTCGGGTCTAAAACTGGGTCCGTCTCTCCACTTCGTCGCTTGATCCGCTAAATTTACCTTCGATTGAACCTTTCTCCATTCATCAACGGTAGTCGTACTCAGAATTTCTCCTACTCTGAAGCCGACGAACTGATGATATCGTCGAGTCTCGGACTTCAGCCAAGCGAGAATGGTTGTCGAGTCTGACCAGAGGAATCGAGCGGCCACTGGCAATGTCAGCGCCTTGCAAACGCTGTCCAGCAGTCGTGAGCCGATTAAAGCTGCTTGCAACTCAAGCCTCGGAATTGAGAGGGGTTTCAACGATGTGCATCAGTGTGCATTGAGGTTTCCCATTACTCGTGCTCCGAAGATGCGGCTAAATCGACAAAGACATGAATTTGTGTATCTTTCGGTGTAGCTCTTGTTCCGGAGAAGAAGCATCTTGGCACGCTCGAGCACTTCTGAGGAGTTCGACGAAAAGTTTCGAATCTCCATCCCAGCCTTGGAATGCACATGTTTCACTTTCTCTATCAGCTCTACCGCTTCTTCTACCGTCTCCACACTATCCAGATAGTCGTCAACGTAATGGTTTTCGATGATGGCCCTGGCTGCATCTGGGAATTGGTCCGTGTACTCCTACTTGTTTATTAATTTATTTGATAAGGCTCAACCGAATTAACTTTACAGAGCCGAGGATTCTTGGTCACTATACAATACATCTTAAAACTATAGTCAAAAGGTACAACACAATAAATACTTTATCTTCCGCTATCCAAAAAGCCTCCTCCATCATAACTGGAGCCGCTTCTAGTAGTTTCATTGTATGGCAAATTGTTGTACGCCAACGAGGGTCAGAGCGCGTCCATTGCAGCAATGGACGCAAAACGTGGTCAGCACTCACACACTCATCACGAAACGGTTGTTTTCCAAAGTCGACGACGCATCGACCGAAAGAACTGCTGATGAAGAACAATGAGGAGGACCACACAATGGTTGCTGCCGCGAAAACAGACGATCGCGTGGCACACATCGAGAGTGGCCTGCTTTTGTCGACAGCCGAGTGAACACTCCCTATGCATTCCTGTTTTTCAGATACTGTGCGATGCACGGTCAGCACACTGCGCCAAATGTGGCAACATCCATCACGAAAATCTGCGGTGGCTGTCCTGGACACTCTCGGAATACGAACCTCTGTGCCTGTTTATCCCTTTTCCGGATCAGGAATTCAGTGGATACATAAAAGAAATGTTCCACCAAGTCCTGATCCGCTTCAGAATAATCCCATTAACTTGAGCAAATTTGCAGCGACTTACAAGGTTTTCCGTGGAATTATGGGGTATTCCAAGAATTCTATGATTGATCCGAAACGTCAGAAGCGTCAAGGAATTATGAATATATATATATATATATATATATATATATATATATATATATATATATATATATATATATATATATATCAGAAAATTTACTGGATTATTTAACAAATATAGAGAACTTCTGGTAAGAATAGATAAGTTTAGGGAAAATAAGTGAGTGTTTATAATGGTTAAGGAAAATTATTGAAACTTCAAGGCAAATTAATTAATTATATTTTCCAACTTTGTTCGGAAATTGTTGTTACCTTGCCCCGGAAGTTTCTACCGGTTTCCTCTGGCAGTATCTTACAGCTTCTCCGGAAAGGTTCATCTGATTTCCAACAGAAGTTTATACCGACTTCTTTCGGAAGCTATTTCCGACTTCGTACGAAAGTTTCTTTCAACTTCTCTCGAAAATCCAAAAAATATTCAATTGCATCCTATAGAACCATGGAACCTTTCGTTAGGTGGTTGTTGCGTTCAATTTGGTTCAGTGGTTGTTAAGAAACGACGCTGGGCTATTAGGGAAGATGACCGAACACTTAGAGAAGATAATTTAGAGAAGAAAAATTACAAAACCAGTATAGCTCGAAAGAGCTGCTCAAGTTTGAAGAAAAAAATAAAAATACTTAAAAACATCACATTTTAATTGCTTACCACACTGCCAAACCTGAATATTCCAATCTTCAGGGAATAGGTCTATTCCGGAAAATCTCAAATCAAAAAATCACAGCCCGAGCTCTCTTAACAATATTTGCAATAGTCTGTAAACATATCTAAGGGAGCATACATTATCTGAATGTTAGGGAAAATCAACTGTCCTTCCCCTCTTTTGTCACTCTTTTCCAATACCTAATGCATTGTCTATCTTACATTTGTAAACCCTCCCTTAGAGCACCCGCACCAATGCATTGCTAAAGCTATTTTAGCAACCTCCACCATAACGCAGTAGCCGCACTGGGGGTTTCTATTCAAGTGCGGGAAATAACAATCTGCCTCTCGGTGAACAGTGGGTTGACAAATATAGCAGCACGATAGCAACCGGCCCAAGCGTTGCTATCTATGAAATGTGTGTTTTGTTTTTCATTTGAAAATTGTGATATATGAATGAATTTGGATCTGGGACAAAAATGTGGACCCAAGGGACAGCAAAGCATTCCTCTGGAAGACCCGGAACATCCATAAATGTGGATATGAAACCAGTATGTGCACTCTGGTGGCCATTGAACGGTCCTTCGAAAGATCCGGAACATCCGTAAAGGGGGCCAATTCATAGAAAAGATCCTAGAGCTCCGTATTTTTTTAAATCACTTATTTTGATGCTACATTAATGAATTTTTATCTGGGACCAGCATGCGAACTCTGCTGGCCACAACCCGGTCTTTCGGGAGATCCGGAACAGACGTAAAAGTGATCAATTCATAAAAAAAGATTCAAGAGTTTCACGATTCACTTATTTTGAAGCTACATGTATGAATTAGAATTTAGGACTAGTATATGCAATCAGGTAGCGGTGTGGTTCTCTGGAAGATTTTAAACGTCCACAAAAGTTTATTGGGACTTAAGTGAGGTTTTGAATCTTCCCTGAAGTTCATTGATTTTTCTATTGTTCGTGAAATTATAATCATATTTATAAAATTTCCTGAAGACCTCACATTGTTTCTGAAGCATCGCAAAATTCATGAAATTCTTAAAATATCCCATAATTCCTTTGAATTTCTTGACATATCCTGCAATTTTCCTTAAATAAATGAAACTGATATGAAGATATCTAATCATCTACGAAGTTCCGAGAATTTCCCAAAATAAAATGAAACTACCAAAAAATCTATATACTTCTCTGAAGGTCTCTAGACGTTCTTGAAGATTTCCGAACATTTTAAAAGATCTTGTGATTTTCTTGAACATAATCTGATCGTTGCTGAAGTTCCTACATTTTTTCAGTTCTTTAAACTGCATTGAAAACCATGGAACTCACTTTAAACGATCTCACATTTTCCTGATGCTCATGTAAAATCTCTTATGTATTTGAAATTTAAATAAAGGTAATGATACTTTGATGAAGTTTTTGATGAAGTTTCGGAAATACCCTGAGTTTCTTGGAACTTCTTAAACATTCTTCAATTTCATTTAAATTAGTTGAACTGTTCTTAGTTTCTCTAATCAGTCCTTCTGCTCTCGAAACATTCCTGAAGTACTCTCAATTCTATAAGTTCTTGGCATTACCCTGAACTAAATAGAACTGTCAAAAAAATTCTCTAAGTTTTTCTGAAGTTTATGGAATTGACCGGAATTTATCGGACCTTAATCATACAGATCTTCGAACTTCCCTGAAAGGCTGGAATATCTTGAATTTCATGAAGTTATGAAATTATGAAGTTATTGGAAGTGCCGTTAATATCTCTGAAATTCTCTAAAGTTCCCTAGTTTAACTTCTTTGAGGTACTAGGCAGTTCTTTAAACCTCAAGTTATCTTCACATCGCTGAATTTTTTTTTTTAAATTATTATTCCTGAATTTCTCAAATTTTCTTTTGTTCCCACAGTTTGCCTAAAAAATTTCCTGAAATTCTCGTACTTCTTTTCATTACTAAGACTCTTCCCGAGCAGGAGAAAATAACTAATGAATACCTAATTCTGATTTGCTACCAAAATTTGGTATTGACCAGCATGACATAAGAGGTAAAATACCAAAGAATAATACCAAAAAATTACATGGAAAATACTTTGTAAATACCAAAAATTGATATTTGGATACCGAAAGAATACCTGGGTGGTATTGTTTTGTTATTGCATTATCATAATTTGGTATTGGAATGGTATTGTGGGAACATTTTTTGGTATTATTTTTTGGTATTTTACCTCTTATGTCAGGCTCATCCATACCAATTTAAGGTATCGAGATATTCGTTCCTGCTCGGGTTCTGAAGATCTCTATTGTTTCCTGAAGTTTACGGAACTTTCCTTATGTTCTCCTGATGATGTTCCTGGAATTGTTCAGAAATTAATGGAACTGCCCAGAAGATTTTTAAACTTCCCTTCAAACATGGATCTTGTGTGTAGCTTTCTTAATGTTCTTAAGTTCATTCCCTGAAGTTTTTTCTTTACTATCCTTAAATTTTCGGAACTTCTTGATGGTTTCCTTTATTTTACTGAAATAAATGGAACTGCCATAAAGTTCTCGAAACGAATGGAACTGCCCTAACATTTTCAGAACTTACCCGAAGTTCACGTAATCTACTCATAGGTCTTTAAGCTTAAATTTTCCTGAATTTAATGGAACTGCCCTGAAGCTCTTGATCTTCGCTGAAGTAAATTTTCCTGAAATCTATTAGGTTGCCTTGCTTAAAGATCTTTTAACTTCCTCACATTTCTATCAATCAGAACTTCTTAAAGGTTTCAACATTTCAAGACCAACAATTGAAATGGCCTTAACTCCATTTTGTAAACAAACCTTGTAAGGCCATTTTCTCGCGAACCGAAACCTTCATTCGCAAACCTAAACCACAATCGGGTAGAGGAGGATTTCCCCTACCTGTTCGTTATGTTGGTTTGCCTTTGCGGACTTCGGTTCTCGAGAAAATGGCCTTACAAGGTTTGTTTACAAAATGAAGTTAAGGCCATTTCAATTGTTGGTCTTGATTTTTTGATAAATTCACAAGCTAAAATATGTAATCTAGTAATCCAGATGGGCATCCGAAAATGCCTTTATGCTTTTTGGTGCGCAACTTTTATAAGATGAGCATACGAAGATCGATATTTCGATCATTTTTACGAATTAACCACTTTTATGGATGTTCCGGATCTCCCAGAGGACAGTTTCGTGACCACCAGTGTGCGCATGTTGGTCCCAGATTCAAATTCGTTCATGTAGCATCACAACAAGTGATTTAAAACAAAAATCTCTGGGCTATTCGGATCTTCCGGAGGACCGTTTCTTGAGTACCTGGGTCTGTAGTTGGATCTTAACCTTCAATCTTCAGTCTTCGTAGTTAGGTATATGAATATCGCCTCTGTGATCGATTTCAGTTCGAAGTTCGACGATAAGTTTAGCAACTATCGGTGCGAAAGCCAAACACGTAAATTCACAATCGTGATAGCAACGACCGGACGAAGATGCTAATTTCAAATAACAGACTAAAGTGGTAATTTTTATACGATAGATGAGGAGATGAAAGTATAGAATTGATAGTTCCGTTAGAGTACGGCAGTGTGAAAATTGTATATAGAGGGTAGAAAGCGAGCTAGGACAACTTTAAGAAGGTACAAATCGTATAAATTCTACTCTCTATATGCAATTTTCACACTGCTGTACTCTAACGGAACTATCAATTCTATACTTTCATCTCCTCATCTATCGTATAAAAATTACCACTTTAGTCTGTTATTTGAAATAAGCATCTTCAACTATCATAAGTATTTCTGGAAGCTCGTCAAAATTTATTCAAGTCTGGGTAAGATGGCAACCATTCGGCCTAATAAGAGATGAACTAGCCTCAGGCTAAAAATCTCTAAAATAAAGATTAAAAAAAAAAAAAAAAAAAACATTCGGCCTAATGCCCATCCGGCCTAATAACCTTCGGCCTAATGGCTGGACACCCTGAGAAAGAAGAGTTAAAAGGTTTGGCCATGCCCGAACAAGAATCGATAAATAATCGATAACATATGAATGTCTTAATTAGGCATGATAGGTATGATTTTGGTACTATTTTTGCTTACTAGTTTTTATTTTAGTCAGTTATCGAAATATTTTGAAAAATATAAAATAAATACCAAAATAACAAAACACGCTCTTTTAGTTTTTAAACAATAACACCTAAAAGAGTTATTGGATTGGTATTAAACAACTTTTTAAATAACAAATTATGGTATTCTGGACTCAAAAAAAAAAAATCGTTAACTATCCGCCAGTTATTATAATAACTACATATATTATTTATTAGTTCGTAGAACATTTTTGAGGTATTATTTTTGGTATGGTAACTCTTATGCCAGGCTAGTCAATACCATATTAAGGTTGCCAGTTATGCTATTTTCATACCTGACTTTGGTATTAATAAGTTATTTTCTCCTGGTCGGGCTTGAACAAGTTGAGATCCAGGAATTGAGTAAAAGTTAATAGCGAGGAAGAAACAGTGGTTGTATTTTAAAATGTTTTGAAATTCATTGGCGTACTTTAATACATGTATTGTATTTTTGTTTTTAAGTATTGCTTGATGCTTGATACGAGAGTTTCAAAATGCCTTGGTTATTCCTGGTTTTTGTAGGAAAAAAATTCCCGGGTTTCCAGGTAATTCAGGGTAGTAGACACCCTGTCTAATGTTCTAGAATCTAGATGCATTGCAAATGGTTCACTTACCGGTATACTCCGGGAAGCAGATGATGAGCGGTGACCGGGTGATCTTCTCCTCGAACAGGTCCTTCTTGTTCAGGAACAGAATGATAGACGTGTCGACGAACCACTTTGAATTGCATATCGAATCGAATAGCTTCATAGACTCGATCATTCGATTCATTTCCTCATCCTCCGCCAACACCAGGTCGTACCCTACGGGATTAGATCATTAGGAATTTGCATAGTAAGCATACAAAAACCATTCAACTCACCCGACAGCGCCACGCAGAAAATGATTGCCGTTACACCTTCGAAGCAGTGTATCCATTTCTTTCGTTCTGACCGCTGACCACCCACGTCAAACATTCTGCAATCAAACACAATAGGGAGATTATGGTAAGCGACAAGTTGCCGAATAAATAAAATGAGCGGATATTTTGATTGAGGCGTCGTCGTCGGACCGGGTGTTATTCGTGTCATACTCACTTGAAGTGTATACCCTTAAAGCTAAAGTGCGTCTCGACGATGCCGGTCGTTTTGACCCGCGTCCGGAGGACATCCTGCTGGGTGGGGATGTAGTTTGGCTGTGAGATGCGGTCCAACGAGTTTAGGTAATAGGCTGCGGAATCGTTCAGCTGGTATTCGCGCGACCGGGAGAAGCACTGCTGCACGCCCGGATCGGTCCACAGTTTCTTCATGAGCGACACCAGCTCCGGCGTCAGTTCGCCCTCCTCGGTGGCGGAGGCGTATGTGAAGAATTGGCGGGCAATGTCCTGGAAGGGGAGAGGGATATTCAACATTGTTAGTTGACTTGATGATACATACTTACAGCTCAAACCCAAATTTTCATCAATGTCGGAACAGTGGAAATATTTCAAATAAGTAATCCTATTACATTGGCAAGTCGAAATAAAGTTCTGATGGAAGGGAGCTATTCAAAATATCAATGTAACTCTATCAGATAATATATTCATTGAAATTTACCAACCCATTCGACAATCATGAGCGTCATTCTAGAACAAGATCTTTACAAAATTGTTAATCTTCCACGCACCCAAGTATCCTGGGCACCTCCACTGGTGCATATGGTAAACATTCTTCCTGGGCTTGACTATATTTTCAAGATTCTGGGACTTAGAAAAACTAAAGGCTCCGAGTTTTAGCCAAATTTCTCCAATAATCAAGATATAAGTACTTGGACAAATTGTTCCGGATGCTACTTAGCTAAATGTTCAAGCACAATTTGGTCTAATTAAAAATATAACATAAATTGGCCTTATTGCATGCATGCTTTTTAACAAATACGTTTTTTTCTGCCAAGCTTAGCTCAACATGATACAATGAAGAATTTACGCTACGGTTGCGTCATTTGTTATGGGGGGGTTTAACTAAATTTTCCACCTATCGTGGTTCAGCAAATTTTAAAGATTCTGGGTCAAGCGTCGTAGTGAGGGTCAGCGATAAAAAATCGGGTCAGGTTTTGAAATTGTAACCGTTTAGTTACAATGTCCTAGGTTTTAATTTGTGCATGTTGTTTTAGGAAACTGTAGTGTTTGTTTAGTGTCAGTGTTAGGTTAGTAGGATTGTTGGTAAAATTTCTATAAATTGAAAAATGTATAAATTTGTGTTAGTAGGATTAGATTGAAATTGATATTTTTATAAACTTAATTGGACGAGACAGGATCGAAAGGGTGTTGTGATCAACTGTGGTAGAAAAACTGAAAAGGCGAAGGAGATGATTTGGATGGGGTGTGATAAGCTACAAGGAAGGAAAATGGAGGAAATAAGGAACGAATTGAAAACTGGATGGGAAAAGGAGGGCTTTTGATAGCTGGGATGGTCGTGACAAGTCGTGAGTGGAGTCAAGACTATAGTGAACCGAACAAAGTGCCTCAAAGTTCAGTGAACAACCTCCTTCTGTTCCGTTCTGGACCTTTTCTATTTGTTCCACGAATATCCTCACAATCGGCACGTTTCGACCAAGTCAGTCTCGACTGTCTTGGTCTAAAACTCAAGGACCTTCCACTCTCCGGCTTGTAATTGCCAGAAAGGAGAGCATCCTCGGACTCGGAAGTCCTAATCGTTAAGGAGGAAGACCCTTCTCGGCTCGACCTAGGTGGCCTTGTCACGGTCAGCGGATATTTGCCAACGAAGGGATACGCCGTTGCTAACAGAAAAATCAACTTCGGTAGCTGCACAGGGATCGCTACATTCCCTGGTTGCGAACAGCCATTGCAACGCTCAAACACAAGCCTCCGATCCGCCATTGTCGAGACCACAGCTCCAGTCACCAGGCGCCATCTTCCAGCCCAGTTGAAGCCACCGATCCGCCATTGCCGACGGAGTGATCAAGCCACGGACCGCCATCGCGATCAAACAACATCGGCCTCAGGACAATCACCACCCGCGAGCGCTCGCCATCGTCGAGCAAACCCCACCGGTACGTACCAAAGAAGCAGAAACCCATAGAACACACCCCACAATAGCCCAATAAAACAATCCGCACCATAATACCATTTTAATAAATTTCTAGACTTTGTCCACCCACACTTTAGCTTTCAATTAATTTCACCATCACTAGAGTAATCCCATATCTGCACACTATGTTCCGCATAGCCCCTCCGAATTACCCAGTAGCATACATGCCGGCCCTGTGACACAGTTCAGGGGTCTCATGCTACTGAGCTAGTTATCCGGGAGTCTAGGTTGAGCTACTAGGGTGAGTCTCATCTAGTATCAAAATAAAGAAGGGCATTTTTTGGATTCACACAAAATTTTACGTCTGGGAATCTTAATTTCAGGAAAGCTCAGGATATTTTGTTTTTGCTAAGTCGCGATAAATTTTCAATAGCCCAGAGTGCGAATTGTTGAACATCTGAATGATTCAGACCAGTGCTGATAAAAATCATTCCTTCTACACTCAACTTAGCTGAAAATGAAGACAGCCTTAACAGATAGATCAACTACCTGCATTAATTTGAATTTTGACGTAAACACATTCTCTTGATCAAGGCAATCTCTGACTATCGAAGTTAACATTTGTTTTTGTTCACTTGTGGCTGGATGTTTAATTGCATGTGCTGTTGTCAATATCATTATTCATCTTCATCTTGGTGGGGATGATTTTGAAAATCAATTGCAAAATTATTATTTTCATTTTACACATATGTAGCTCTGAAGAACGTGTCGTGTTGGTCTTTACACACAGATCGATGGAAAATTATTGCGTCATGCTGAATTGATGATAATATCTAGGTTTTAGACTCTGGAGTCGACAATATTAAAAATAATCATTTTGCTCAAAATGAATTTGATTATTTTGCTTTTGAGAATCGCTTCTGATTTTGAAAATTTTGGTTTTTTTTAATAATGCGTCTATTTTTCTTGGCTCATTTGCTGTAGCTTTGCGGAGCCGATATTCATTGTTTAGATAACAAAATTACTTAGAACTAACGTTAGTAAAGCGGGGGCTGATTACTCGCGGCTATCTAGAGGTTAGAGGTAACAAATGGATGGCAGGGTAGGGATTGACAATTTTGGGTTGGATAATCAAGCAATGGTGAATATCAACAAACGCGTATTCGTAGATGTATAATAGGGGTATTCACGTAGCGAATGGTATTTAGTGTATTTCTTGTATACCGTGTATATATACCCAAATGTTTACGAGCTCGTTTTATTTTCAAAGGAAAAAGACTTACGAGGGCTGTCTGTCAATACTCCTCGATTTTGATGTGTATTCATTTACGTCTTTTTAGAATACCACGTCTGAGGGGTTCTAAAATGTAGTTTTTACATTAATAAATCACCAACATAAATGAGTTCATGATGTTGTTGTTCTTCGTTTTATGTGACTGGAAATATGTTATCAAACGAAAAGAAAACTTTAAAAATTAAATCCAATTTTGCAATTGAATAGTTCAAAAAATAATGTCATGACCGTAACAAAATCAGCGCACCCTTCGTTTCTCGCATTTCGTTTCGTTTCTCGTGCCGCTCGCGCCGTACGTCATCAAAACTGTAAACAGAAGCCGGCATCTAATTTGTTTTTGCACGAGTGGTAGTCATGGCAGATGATTTTGACAGTCCGTACTTTACGCATCCAAACATAGCAATGTTACCATGGTTCGTTCACATACAAGCAGTGGTAAACTTTTAGCAAATATGCTTAGTTAATAATACGACCCTACGTGAATACCCCTAATGAACTCATTTGTTCGTTTCGCTCGTACTTCACAGCAAAGATATTCAAAACGTACGCAATTCATGTACACTGGGTTGTAGCGTTACTCCTTGTGTGTGATGGTAAATGATAAAAACAGACAGTGATTCTGACTCTATTTTTTTTTAATAAATATCAGTATCTTTAAAGGTTCAGTAGTAAATTTACTTGCTTAAAATATTTTTTTTATTCATCAGATATTGGCCAAAATGCAGAGTTGATACGACTACTTGGGTGTCGCAAATTTCGAAATTTTCGTGGATTTCAAGCGCATTTAACTAAGTTTCAATTGTTTGTAGCCTCAATTCTAATCAATTCAAAGGGCCAATTATTAAATAGACATAAGTGCTTATGTAAAAACATGACTTAAATCGTCAATTTCTCACGACAGTTTTCTCGCCCACGCAACTAAAAACTGGACTCGGAAAAAATGCGATACTTTGTTTTGGGTGTAGCTTTTTATCGCGTGGGTAAAAATTAATGAAATTTTTGGGTAATACTAGTTTAGAGTGTTAAGTATATGTGTGCAAAATTTTATCTGTCAATTAGTTTTCAAGATGCATTCGAAACAAGAAGAGCTACGCCAGCAAATCTTGGGCGCGGTGATCGATAATCCTGGTCAGTCGCACAGATGGATCGGCAAAAGGCTTGGAATCCACCATTCCACCGTGTCCCGCGTTGTGAAGATGTTCCAGGAGACGAAGACCACCGAAAACGGAATACCCAGAGAAGGCGCGGAAGATAAGGCAGTACTTTAAGAATAACCCGAACCTTTCCACCCGAGACGTGGCCAAAAAGGTCAATTCGTCGAAGTGGTTCGTCCAGCAGACCATGAAGCGGGCTGGGCTACGTGTTTTTAAGGTCAGGTAGGCGCCAAACCGGACTGACAAGCAAAACACGGTGGCCAAATTGCGTGCGTGGAAGCTGTACCGTGAGTGGCTGGTCAAGCCAGGCTGTCTCGTCATGGACGGCGAGACATACATCAAGGCGGACACCAAACAAATCCCCGGCCTCGAGTTTTTTGTCGGTACGTCCCGCATGGAGGTTCCGGAAAAGTTCCGGAAAGAAAGATGGACAAATTCGCGAAGAAGTACATGTTGTGGCAGGCGATCTGCGAGTGCGGACGGTACAGCAAGCCGTTCGTTACAACCGGCACCATAAACGGGCAGATTTATCGAGAGGAATGCTTGCAGAAGCGCTTGCTGCCCTTCCTCCGCTCTCACCGTGGTCCCACGCTGTTCTGGTCGGATCTCGCTTCGTGCCATTACGCCAAGCCTGTAATGGATTGGTACGAAGCGAAGGGCGTTAATTTGGTCCCGAAGGAGGTGAACCCGCCAAATACACCAGAACTTCGTCCGATCGAAAAGTTTTGGGCGATAATGAAGAAGAAGTTGAAGAAAAGCGGAAAAACATTCAAAACCGGTGAAGCTTTCAAGAAAAACTGGGAGAAACTGTGTAAGGAAGATGGGCAAAGCCTCGCCCAAGATCTCATGAGCAGTGTTAAGAGAAATGTACGAGCATTCAGCTTGGGGGAGGAAATTCAATAAATAAATTATGCCAAAACATAGCTAATATATAGTTATTTAATCCCTGAAAATTTGAGAAGTATCCGATTTAAAATGATTTTTTGGTGATCATTTTTGTGTGTCTCATTTTTTCCGAGTCCAGTCTTTAGTTAGGTTAAGGGATTTTTTTCCGAACAGCAGCGAATCAGGTTACTAAAACTAGCTTGAATAATAGTGTTGAACAACTTAAAACTAGCGATCGAACTGACTTGTTAAAATTTAAACAGTAACTTGTTTTTTTTAGTTGGTTGGAAATGCTATTTAACATGAAAAGCTTAGTGTGATAATTTATTAGCTATAGAATGGTTTTAGAAGAGGGTAGGTAGATAGTTCCGTTACCTACCCTCTTCTAAGACCATTCTCTAGCTAAAAAATGATCACACTAAAGCTTCATGTTAGATAGCATTTCCAACCAACTCTGAAAATCGCAAACTTCGCGTATGAAGTAACATAAAACCACTTTGAAAGCCCTTTTTTTTTTTGTTATCAAAGTGTAACTGTTTTCACCTAATAGGGGTCTGTTCATAAACTACGTAACATCTGGAAGTCAAATCAGATTAGTCTCCGCACAAAGATCCGAATTTTCAACTCTAACGTGAAATCTGTACTGCTGTACGCTAGCGAAACATGGTGCGTATCAGCGGAGATCACACAGAAGCTGCAGGTGTTCATCAACCGATGCCTGCGGTATATAATTCGTGCTTGGTGGCCTCACAACTGGATTTCGAATGCCGAGCTCCATCGACGGTGTCACCAGAAGCCGATATCGACAGAAATTCGGGAACGTAAGTGGAGGTGGGTTGGCCACACTCTACGGAAGAGCGGAAATGAAATCTGCAAACAAGCGCTGGATTGGAATCCAGCCGGACATCGCAGCAGAGGCAGACCCAGGGGCTCATGGCGGCGAAGCCTAAACAAGGAGATTAAGCAAGTCGACCGGAATTTGACCTGGGCCCAGGTCAAGGCGAAAGCAAACAATCGCCCAGGATGGAGATCTTTCACGTTGGCCCTTTGCGCCAGGGATGGCGCTCAGGACACTTAAGTAAGTAAGTAAGTAAGTCATAAACTACGTAGACAGTGGGGGAGGTTTGACAATTATCCACGGCTCATACAAAATTTAAATAAATTTTAAATAAAAATTAAAAGGTAAATAAATTTTGAAGCCATCAGTAATAATAACATTCCGTTTGGTGCTAAGCTGCGATAGATTAAGAAAGACTAAGTGCGGATTGTGCTTAATAGGCCGGAAATGGGGTAGTTAACCCTAGTAGAAATAAAGTGCGCCCTTTGTTTTGCCTATCCAAATGGAGCGGCAAAGCATCATGGGCAGATAACCAATTTCGTAAAATCATTGGCTGCGAATGCTGTTAACATGGATGCAACGTAGGGGAGAACAGTACATAACGCACCCCCGGGGTAAGACGCACTTTTTCATTTTATTTTGAGTTTTTCTTGGAATTTTAAATCCAATTCTAGGATTTATCATGCAGGATTTTGAGTTCAGATACTATGCTAGAAGTGCTGCTTGATAAGACAACAAAAAAGTTACTTAAAAGCCATGAAAAACACAAATGAAAGTCAGCTGGTGCGTTCTGCCCAGGGGGTGCGTTCTATACCATTCTCCCCTACAGGATTGCGGAGGAGAAGGTGATCTTCATCAAGTTCAAATTTGAAACAAGTATGCATTATGCCTGTCATCCAGGAGAAGTTCCCTGCGGAATTGGACCGCGACATGTACACAGGTCTGCGAGGTGTATGCATGGTCGCTTAATTTCCTCAATCGGAAGGGGGCTACATTTTATGCTAGGAATAGGGATATATGTAAGGCGGAGGTGTACCGGATGAAATCCTCTGCCCCTAACAGAAAGCTCGAAAGCAATAAGAATATCGGTAGCAGTACGTACGCTTGTGTGGTGGCTACTGGAAGTGCATCGTTGAGATGCTGTGGAAGAGGTTGATCAATATTTCTTTTTAAAATCCATTTATTTGAAAAGCTCAATCGCGGGAGTTTTACGGAGTCGTGATTCTACAATTTTTTTTTATTGAAGACCCCTCTCACCCTCTCACTGCAAGTGCTCTGGAAGAACTCCGATAATGTCTTGGGAACGATTTTGAAAGTTTTTTTAATGCAATCATATTTTAATATCTTTCTGATATTGTGAGATCGCAGTGTTTGATAGAATTTTTCGAAGGTCCCTAAAGATGAAATTTTTGGAAGTTCCCTCAGGTTAGGTTAGGTTAGGTTATCTTTATCAGCGAGACTTTCGGCCAGAGGCTGGTTCATCTCTTCAAGGCCCCTCAGGTCGTTTCTGTAGTTCCCAGAACTAGTGATGTAGTGAATAGGGCTATTCGACCTGGTCTTCTACATTTACACCTAAATGGGGACTCACCTTAGCTCAGTCTACCTCATCACATCATGTGGAAGACTTGCATTGGCAAAATATCTTAAGTTCTCCAAAGTGCCTGGAGTTTAGATGATCCTACAGGATAATTGAACCCGTAGAGCGTCGTGGAGCCCCATGCTATAAGGTGGAATACACCCAAGTAACACCCATTCATATAATTATGTTGAGTAAACTTCTTTACAACCACATCCAGTCATATAAAGGTTATATAAACTGATATATAACATGTGTGTTGCTCGGGCATAGTTATAATGACAACGTATTTTAAGATAGCCAAATTATCCTGTAGCTTAGATATTGAACTCCACTGGCTCAACAAAGTCTTACGCGATGTCCTGATATAGTATGCAAATCTATAGAACTTTGTGGGACCTCATAACATCATTTGAGATATACAGATGAATTTACCATGCTTCTCCCATTGATCCGGAAGATCAAATCCTGACGCTCCACAATCTCAACGAGGTATTGTGCGTTGTTCTGATCAAATTTTCAAACCCGAAGCGTCTTGTAGTGCTCCAAAATATCATGTGAGGCACATAATTGTAATGACAAATCACTTCGGGCTCTCCCAACCATTTTACAGTCCAGACAATGACCCATTAACAAATCCACAGAAATTCGCATGGCCTCACTGTATATCATGTGGAGTAGAAGCTGTATTGGCAACACATCTTAGGTAGACAGCGTGGCATGGTGGTTTGTTAATTTATTTATTTGATAAAGCTCAATCGAATTAACTTTACAGAGCCGAGGATTCTTATTTACTATACAAAACATCGTAAAACTATAGTCAAAAGGCACAGCACAATAAACACTTTATCTTCCGCTGTCCAATAAGCCTCCTCCATCAGAACGGGATCCGCTTCCAGTGGTTTCATTGTATGGCAGTATCGCCAACGAGGGGCAGAGCGCTTCCATTGCAGCAATGGACGCAAAACGTGGTCATCACTCACACACTCATCACGAAATAGTTGCTTTCCAAAGTCGACGTCGCATCGACTGAAAGAACTGCTGACGAAGAACAATGAGGAGGACCACACAATAGTTGCTACAGAATAAGCAGACGATCGCGTGACAGACGTCGAGAGTGGTCTGCTTCTGTCGACAGCCGAGTGAACATTGAGCGTGGCATGGTGGTGTTGAACATTGTACTTTCCGTAACCCTCTTCAGTAATTTCCTGATCTACCTATAGGTAGGGTAGTGCGCTACTTCGTCGTAATCGCCCATTTCCGTTCTATCGATCAGAAAAGATCAATAATATCAATGATGTTACCGTGCAAAAACCAATTATAGGTTTGTTCCGATGCGTTAGTTCATTAGCTACAACATAAATCCTATTGGAGCGCATTGTATGAATATTTACGTTCATTGTTCTCAAAACAAAAGAAGCACTCCTAGCGAATCCCCTTTTTCCGTAGGACGAAGAAAATCTAATGGCGTTTCAATGCGTTAGGACGGAATTGAAACTCGTAGAACGAATGTGTGACTCTTTATCAAATCCAACGGTGCGTATGGAAAGGTGAATAAATTTAGAAGTCATCTTTGGCAGAAATATTCCACTCGTTGTTTAAACTCGTTCAGAAAAAATAGGTAAAGTGCGGGTTCTGATTAGTAGGACGGAAATTAGATCAAAAACCCTATGATGAAAAAATATCTGAAGGACTGAAGCCGTACGAATAATTTGTGATAATTTTGTTAGGGAAAATGGATGTAATATCGGCCTAAATACCCCTAATTTGGGCCCATACATAAATTCAGCAATCGACTAAATTTTCAAAAGCGACCAAAAATATCCATTAGTACAAAAATCTCAATGACGCGTTCATTTAGATAAAATTGATAAATAGCAGATTTTTAGCGATGGACCCAATCTTAGATCAATAGGCCAACATTAGAGCTATTTTCTCCATGAAGAAAGAATATCTGAAGGACTTAGGATAAATTTATTAACGGTTGTAGGTCGTCATAATATTTCCTGATCAACCTAAGATAGTGAGTGAATTTCTGAAGCTTTTATGGTCTCAATTCAAAGTCTTCAGAACAATCCTCAATGAATCTTATACATTGAGAGCATATATGAAGAATTTATTACCAACGTAATATAATGAGAGCATATGCTTTGGCTGAATATGTACAAAATAATTTCTCATCAACTTGATAACTATGATCAGAGAACATGTAAAAGACTT